TATACGCCGGCGGAGTATAAGTAGTACTTATACGCCGCTCAAACACGGTGTCATAGAAATGAGACTTAAACCCCGGTAAGAGCTTTATATAAGTGTCAGTTATATGACGTTTGAAAATAAACAATATTTAAATTCGCCATACAATCTTATGAAATTCTAAACAACAAATAAATCTTATGCGAGATAAAAATTGGACATTAAACAATTTATGATAGAAACATTCACCAACAAAATATTTACAAAACAGAATTCCGCAAGGATTTATGGAACAGAAAATCTGGTGTGTAATAAACGTGTACAAATAAAAGTATTATGTGAGGATAAAACTGTAGAACATGAAATTTACGTCTTGGTGATGTAATCAGTCTGTAGCGTTGTGAGGCATGCCCCGATGAATTAATCATGATAACGATGATAACCACCTAAGGGAAGAAAATATCATAACCCCCGCCAGTTCGCAGTATAATGAACTTGTTTAACTGCCGTAAATGAACTATTAGCAATCTTGTGTGAAGAATGAAGGAGTGTTATAATGTAACACTTATGTATATGCATCCAGAACCTTATTCGTAATTAAACAATAAGGTGTTTTCCTGACTAAGCGAATTTCATGAAATCTTCTAGCAAATGGTTTATTTAAATAATCCTGATTGTTAAATTGTGTTTGCATTAGCTGACTATTAAGAAAAACTAACTTGATTGGTGAATTTACAAACAATGAAACAAATTTACAGCAGGTGTTTCGGTGGAGCGGAAGTCCGCATTTTCCGATTAAAAGGCGGCAAGAATTGACCGCGCGGGTTGGGGACAACTGTATGATTATAAAAAATACGTTTGATTGTCGTTAAACAAAGGCTTCCTCCCGTTTTATTAACTACCAAACCAACTAATTGAAACCTAGCGCTTACCACGTGTTTACACTCTCACAAGCACATTCATAATGAATCTACGCCATACAGCTTCTCTACCAACCATCCACCAACCCTCTAACTAAAACCCCTAGCGCTAAATTGTCACGCTACCAAACAAGCATCTCCGTGTGCCCGGTTGCCTATGTTTAACGATTACCCTTTTTGTGATTGAATTTTTTTTCCTTTCAAATTCAAATTATTCAAATGTGATTTCGCGCCGCTGTTAAATAATTTCAGCGCGAAAACTTTGATTTAAATTCGGTCACCACACTACATATAATATCTATATTTTATAAAGGACACCCATAGAATAATAATAATCACCACAGGGCGGCACCAAACAATTTGATGAATAATTAATGTACGAAAAAAATCAGTTCAATAAAACGAAAATAGAGTACTAAAACTTGTTCCGACCAAGTGGCTCATGACACATATGCAAAACACTGTTTGATTATTCATGATCCCATTTGCCATGTATAATACAAAAGTTTAAGTATCTAATGTACCCTGTTGTATATCATTAAATAAAACTAGTATACCAAAAGTGGCAGTCAAATAGAAAGAAGTATTATAAAGGGTTATAAATATTTTTAAATTATTTAAAAGTGGAAATCAGTATATTTAAATCTTTTTATGACTAACCCTCATGTCTTAGAAGTAAATCATTTTGTGTTATTTTCTACCTGTTTTAAGGTAAAATACAATTTGTTTTGAAGATTTCGGTTTAAACGAAACGGAACATTCAAACTATTAGATTAATCAGAAACAATAAATTAAGAATGTTCCAGTTGCAATGATTTAAAAAAATTTATACTAGAATGCTTAGTTTGTTGTCAATGTTTATACGACTTTCCTAAAATTGACCACTTCTTAAAGTCTTTTCTAGCGTACCAAAGCTAATCAAATGAACAAAAATTCAACCGTAAAATATTTTAGCTTCATGAATATTTCACCCGAGTTAGGAATAAGTTTCACATATTATCACATTATTTATGTACATAGCCTATAGTTTTGTACTTTCTAAGTGTAATATATGTTTAATCTAAGTTCAGCTACAGACGCGCAGAGAATTTATAATGCAGATAACCTTGTGGAATAGGTGTTATCACTACCAGACATATGTAGGGGAATGTGGGGCAAAGCGGACCCTTTAACACATAATAATTAATTACACACTCGATGGTATCCTTGTAAAGCTTTTGTTGCGTGTACTAGAAGACATATGTGTTAAGTATCAATCCCTAATTTTTAAATTTAATAAACTACTGCGGCAGTGTTACGGTTTTTTTATTTTTTAGGAAGGTCTGCAAAAGTTTTGCTTTGCCCCATATATGGGGCAATGTGAAAAAAAATGAGGGGCAAAGTGGAAATTTGAATCATCTGTAAAAATAGTTTATTGTAATAATAAATGATTGAAATATAAAGAATAAACAAATAAAAAAAAATCTCAATGGAACAAATTAAACATTAAAAAACAAAAACAAAGGAACTCATTTCGCCTTTAGTTTATACTAACAAAAATTGAAACTACAGAATTCAAAAAACATTTTTAAAAAACAAAAACAAAGAAACTCAATTCGCCTTCAGCTTATATTAACAAAAATAGAAACTATAGAATTAAAAAAATTTTCGTGAATTATATTATTTGGATTTTGCCATGTCTTAGTTTGTTTATCTTTACCTCGCCTACTATTTCTTCATAAACTATTTCACTTTCGTCTGCCACGTCATATATCTGTAGTTTGCTTATACTGTCTTAGAAAGCTTACAATTATACAACCATTTTCTTCAATATTTGTAATGTTTGCCACAAATTGTTTTTTTGTACGATATTTTTCATCGGTTAATTCAGTTAAAAGAAAATCTCCTTTTTTTAACTTTGTGCCTGGATTAACTTTCTCTACGTTAAAGGAAGACTTCTTCGACAAAATTTCCCAATCACTGTCATCACTAATTGTATTCTCACTGTCGTCGCTGTCGGATGATTCTTTCTTATTGATTTTTTGAGATTTTTTCTTTTGCTTTCTAATGATATTTTTCTTTTGGTTGACATTACTTTGGCAGGGCGTTTAGATTCTATTTGAAGTTTTATTTCCTCCATGTTTGGGGTAGACGTCAATATCATTGTCTTTACTTTTCTTTTTCCTCGTACTGAGTCTTTTCGTGGACCTGCTCTAGGCAGAGGCAGCAGATCTTGAGGTGTCCAATGGTTATTCGCTTCATGTGAAAATACCTGTGGAGAGGGTGTTCTTTCTTTTGAGCAACCCGCACGAGGAGATATGGTTCTGTTTGCTTTAGAATTAGTAAAGGCATTTCTGTTCGCTTCAGAATGTTGCTCTTCTCTATTTGTTGTTTCAGACGGTTTGAATAAATCTTCTGGAAAAATATTGCGATTGTATGGATAAATGCCTGTATTTTTGAATCCATCGCAAGCTGTTTGAAGAGTAGCAGCTCTTTGATATGCTCTTCCAAATAATTGGCCAATTTCGTATAATGTTATTACTTTGCCAGGGTTGTTTCTTAGCCATATTCGTGTCTCTTGTTCGTAATATGTGTTAAGAGGATACATAAATGAGACGTCAAGAGACTGCATGCGATGCGAACAATGAGGTGACAATACGAGTATGTGAACATGATTAGCTTTTGCTTTCTCTATTAAATTCAAATTTTTGGTGTGCGTCGCATGGCCATCCAAAATTAATAAAACGGGACTTTCTTCAGATGGCCGAGCATATTTTAGGAAATGTGGGAACCAAACGTCGCAGAAAATGTCCATTTGCATCCATCCAGATTGGTGACAGTGTACGATTGACTCGGGTGGCAAACCGTTTTCGAAAGCTGGGTTACGCCTTACCCGGGGAAATATCAACAATGGAGGCACGTAGGTTCCAGCAGCACTGAAACACACTTCCACCGAAACCAGCGATCCTCTTTCTGCTAAAGACAAACATCCAACCTGCTTTTTTCCTTTTAGGGAAAATATTTTTGTGGGCTTATTTGGGACACTCGATATTCCTGTCTCATCACAGTTAAAAATTCTGCTAGCTGGAAAATGGAATGTATCAAACAAACTTCCTAGCAGGTTAAAAAAATTTCCAACATTTGTCGGATTAAAAGCGGAAGCTCTTGCCGCCGAAATTTTTTCTGGAAGACGTAATGAGATATTTTTTGTCTTTCTAAAAACTTGTACACCCAATCACGTCCCGCCAATTTAGTATTGTGATTAAAACTATTAGGAATCTTGTTTTTTATAGCATATTGATATGCCAAGCTACACAGTTCTTTAAAACTAAGCCCAAACAAACGACTTTCCATTTCTAATATGAATTCCGCCAACTCTTTCTCCTGATCATAGGTAAATGTTGACTTAAATCTACCTAATGATTTATTTGAAGCTTCAATAACGTTTTTCCCTGACTTGACTCGTCGATATAATGTTGTCGCGGGATACTTTAAAGAAGCAGCTTTTAATTTTAATGTCCCATTTCGCACATCTCTAATTGCACGAGCCATGGAATCTTTAGACCACAATTGTTGATTTGTTATTCGTTTGTAATTGCGGATCATTTTGATATAATTCTGAAAATATGAATAAGCTTTTTTATTTGTAGTTTTTTGCTGATATGGGGCATAGTGAAAAAAATATTCATTTTGCCCCACATCGTAGTAGTTCACTTTACCCCATAGTACCAACAGCAAAGAAAAATTGAGGTTATAAATTTAAGATAGAGAAAACAACTGAAACTCACCTTCAACGGAAGACAAATGTCCCACAAATTGCACTCATACAGAAACAAATTAAAATTTTCTGTAATAGTCTCTATAAGCTTTAGTAAAGCACCCCGTTTTTTTACATCCAACTGCAAGAATGTTTTATTTTTACAATTATAGGTAAACTTGGGGAAGTTTTGGAGGGAAATTACACTAAAGGAACCTTTGGCATGTGCTTAACATAGTTTAGCACGGTAATCCCAGATGGCAGCATTTATTTAGTTTTTAAACAAAAATTTCACTTTGCCTCTACATTCCGCTTTGCCCCACATTCCCCTACATATACTACAATAATAATTCCAGATATTTATTTACTAAAATATCACTTTACCGTAGTTTGTCTTCAATCATGTTTCGCAAACGAAGTTCGATATTCCTTTTCCTATTACTGCCCGTTTTAATTTCATTTGTAATCAACATAAGTTCTAAAAATGCTTGCACAAATTACTTCGATTATTTGAAAATTAACTTTGGTGGTGACTGTTTCTTCAATCCTGACGTCGTACTGCCAGTTGTAAGTAGACAAATTATTTATATATAAAGTATAAAATTATCCTACCCTGGCCAGCCATAGACTGAACTGACTTAAATTTGCCGCGTTAATTAAGATAATATTTAAAGAGCAAGTACTTTTTGTTGTAAAAATTCAGTTAAAATTTTCAGTTTTTCGAAAAATCCATAAATTTTGTTCAACCTATTGTAGACTATATTCGATTCGTAATTACTTTGGTAAGGATGGGTCGAATGGCAGTTATATTCGTGTTGCGAAAGTGGCCAAGTATTGGGGTTTTAAAATACAGTTGCAATTCATCTCAGTAGACTGAGCAGATCGTAACTTATCAAAATAACTCAGTCGAACACAACCTTAGTGCGCCGTTTCAAATTTTCAAAGTAGAAATTTTAGCCGGATTTGATCGAAAAATATACGGGCCATGTTCAAACTTACAACATTACCACTGAAGACGGGTATATTTTAACTATGTTTAGAATACCTAGGACTAATCCTAAAGGCGTTATTCTCTTGCAACCACCAATATCCGCTGGTTCCATAGCTTGGCTGTCAGACGGGGCTAATTCTTTGGGTAATCCATGAAACCTAAAATTTTTAAGATGTTGACAACTAGGAGAGTTTCCAGGTTTCTCTTTATGGAGAAAAGGTTATGAAGTCTGGCTAAGTAATCACAGAGGGGCTTCTTATTCTCGTAAGCACGTCAATCTATTAGATGCAGATCCAACATTTTGGAACTTTGGGTTTTGTTCCCTGACATATTCTTTCAAAAATAAATCTTTTATTTCAGCTTTCACGAAATCGCGGTGTATGATCTTGAAGCTCAGTTCAACGTGATTTTTGAAGAGACTAAGTCTAAAATCATCTTCATTGGTTACTCGATGGGGGCAACAGAAGCTCTGATTTATGCATCTTTAAATCCTGAAAAGACTGAGAATTTTATCGATAGTCTTATTCTAGTGGCACCCCTGACTGTTCTTAAACATTTGTCAAGTAACTTTAAATATATTTTATACCCCATGCTGTTTTTAAAGGTATAAGTATTATTATGGTAACAACGTTCTGATTGTAGTTTATAGGATATTTTTAAAATGGGTGAATTTCTGACTTTTGAAGTCGTACGATGGTTGGCACAGCCTGTTACCATTGTACCATATATTGTTGACATAATGACGCCATTTTCAATGGGAGCGACACCCAATGAAATGGATCCTGTAAGTTGTGTTAGTTTTAGTCAATAACAGCCATTTTAATTTTAAAAGGCGTTATTTCCTTACGTTTTTGCCCATCACGGAAGAGGAATCAGCCATAAAATGATTTACCATTATGGACAGATTTTTTTAAATAATAATAATTTCTCCATGTATGATTATGGTACCGAACACAATAGACTGAAGTATGGATCAGACAGACCACCAGATTACCCTTTACAAAATGTGAAAAAACCAGTATACGTAATATATGGTGATAAAGATGCTGTGGCAACTCCAGCAGTAAGAATAAGTTGTAGTTTAATCTAAAAAACATGCTTTGTTTATTTCAGGATATCAATATTTTGTGCACTGATCTTTTACCAAAGGGAACAGTACGTGGTACTTTTGCGATGCCAAACCACAATCACATCGACTTTATGTTCAGTAGATACAGAAAGAATAAAACATACCAAGCTCTTTTTACTATTTTAGATAATATCGAAATGAATAAATAAATTCCGATAATGCTATTTATGTTGTTTTTAATAGATCTTTATTTGTTGGAAGTATAAGTGATCTTTTACGTTGTGGTGCCCAGTTTAAATTCAAATTTCGCGCTGTGAAAAAACCAATGCCGCGAAATCATAGGCAACCATGTGCAAGTTCAGTTTGGGAGCTCGTGTAGGAAATTAGTGCATCTCAATCTTTAAGTCAGTACTTAGTTAGTTTTGATGAGTCACTTGTTGTTTGCTTGGTGTAAGTGTAATCACGGTGAGGCATTAAGTGTACCTAGGTTAAGTTTAGTTGGTAATTCAATAAAATAACCATTGTTTAAACGAGAAAATTAATTGTACCGACGGCAGCGCGATAGTGTCCCCCACAACCACAATTAATTATTGTTAATGGTTTTTTAATCAGAAATCGACAAAATCTGTCTTATCTTGGAAAATATTAGCCCCGCCCGCCCACCCCCTCTAACGACTAATTTGATTTCTGTTCAGTATAAGATCATTACACCCATTCAAAGGGGATAAAACCAATCACCGAAATGGAGGCCGGGCGGGTGGGCGGGGCTAATTATGTACTTCTGTCGAGTGAGAGTGGAAACTAATAGAATCTAGGATGTGAAAAAAGTAAAAAAAGCGCCAATCGTAAATTATTTTTGGTCGAATATGTCAAATGTGCCAAAATCAGTCTTATCTTATCAAATAGTAGCCCCGCCCACCCACTCTCTATTTTCTTGGAAGGTATGTCATTTGCCAAAATTTTATTTCTGTTCAATATAAGACCATTCATTTCATTTAAATCGGATTAAATTAATCACTGAAAAGAAGACAGGGTGGGTGGGCGGGGCTAATTATATTCTTCTGTCGAGCGAGAGTGGAAACTAATAGAATCTAGGATGTGAAAAAAGTAAAAAAAAAGCGCTGATCGTAACTTTTTTGTGGTCGAATATGTCAAAAGTGCCAAAATAAAATCAAACACTGAAAAAGAGGCAGGGTGGGTGGGCGGGGCTAGTTATGTTCTTCTGTCGAGTGGGACTGGAAACTAATAATAGAATCTAGAATAGTCTAATGAAAAAAGTAAAAAAACCCTAATCGTATTTTTTTTTGTTATACTATTTGTTATAAGATTTATTTCTTATTTCATGCATCTGACTTGACTTGACCTACCGTGACCTGACCTCTTCTAGTTATAAAAATAGTCGAAAATGTCAAAAGTGCCAAAATCAGTTTTATCTTATCAAATACTAGCCCCGCCCACCCACCCTCTGTTTTTTTTGGAGGGTATTTGATTTGCCAAATTCAGCCTTATCTTAGCAAGTACTAGCCGCGCCCACCCGAACTCTAGTTTTTTGAAAGGTATGTTATCTGCCAAAATCAGTCTTATCTCAACAGATAGTACCCCCGCCTACCCCCTTTTATTTCTGTTTAGTATAACATCATTCATTTCATTCATATCGGATATTGCTATATTTCAAGTAGCGATTTTGGAGAAACGGTAGGAATTTTCGAAGAAACGAAGTTGAAAATGACTTTTGAATATCGAAATCTAGAAGGAAATGTATTCAACTAATTGGTCGAAAATCTCAAAAGTGCCAAAATCAGTCTTGTCTTGTCAAATATTAGCAACGCCCACCCACCCTCTAATTTCTTTGAAATTATGCATTCGCCAAAATCAATCTTTTCATAGCAAGTACTAACTAAAAACTTTTGTCGATCTCATTACGTGGTGTCAATTTTTGTTTATTGTTTGTAGATTCACAGTTCACGTTAAGTGTTTTTACTGTTCTTGGTTCTAACACAATTTAACAGTCATAAAATTGTTCATATAAACCACGTGTTAAGAAATTCACTTAGTCAAACTTCAATATTTTGTTTATCAAATTATAATACAATTAGTATTACATTATAGCACATTTCTTAATAGCATGTTTGCGCAAATCAGTTTCTTATACAGTTTACCTTATGCTTACACTTATAATTTATAATTATAGTTGTAAGTACAATTGTAACAGTTATGCTGACGGCTTAGGACCTTACATTGGCAAGCAGAACTGACTTTCTGTCACGTAAATTGATTAATTTTGCACATGGATAACTTAGAAATTTTGGCGACTTGTGGCAATGTAGAAGATGTTCAGAACTACTTAGTGTATCAGTCAGAGCTGTTAAAAGTACTCAACAAAAGTACTTGAAGTACCAAGTACAATGTACTTCTTGAAATAATGTCAAGTAAAGTACCAAGTATTTACTTTTACTAAAAGTACTTCAAGTCTCAAGTACTCTCCTTATGTACTTGAAGTATAATCCAAGTACATTACTTCAAATACTTGCATATACTTGAAATACTGAAAATGCTTCAACTACTTGAATATACTTGAAATACTGAAAATACTTCAAGTAACCTCTCTAATAATTTGAAATACTGCAGATTAACATAACTTTTTTGTTTCCTAAATAAGCTTAATGCATTTTTAAGTTGACATTGAGAAATAAACTATTAATTTATAACAAAAACATCGGCGCTATACGGTATTTTCTCAGGCTTCTGTTGCATTTTTTTAATACTTTGAATTTTGATTCACCACCAAAACGTTCTGATTTTTTAATAAAGTAGTGCTAAAAATAAGTATATGAATTTTATGAACCGGTTCCGTGTTTAAGTTTGGGGGTAGTTTACAGCACCTTTAATCATTGCGCATTGTGAAAGTACACAGGGCCGGATTTGTAAAACTGAAATTTTTCAGAACAAAATTTTAAGAGCAGTGCGATACATATACATGCTCGTGACATAAAAATGTTTAAGACACTATGTTGCATTTTCAAAAAAACGTATGAATTTTTGAAATAAAAAATAAAATGCCTAAAACAAGAGTCCATTTTCAGCGAAAACTGTAACTCTTGAAAAATATCAAGGTGATCAAAGTAATCAGTCGTTTTTTACTTTTGCGTTTACCAAAAATGCTGAGAATTTTCTTGGAATGAATGTCCCATATTCCTGAATATAGCTGTCTACCACTTAACGTATTTACTATTCTAAAAACTATTAAATTAACCTAAATACTACACTAAATAAATAGTAAACACTAATCACTACAACGTTTGTCTATCTAAGTATGTATCTTTACACTGACAAATCACAAATAATAGGTTCGTAAGGCTGTTCCCTCCATTTATACAAAAATTTTGTTCCTTTAATTCCACAATACACTAGATCAAGTTTGCTTTGAAATTTTGTGAATTTTGCCGCTTTGTTGTGAACTGTTATGATCAACGCGCGGAATTGTATCTCATACGCTAGAACCAGTGCTGTCGCGGCGATAGCTTGATTACAAATAAATATATTGTTCTTTTAGACTATTTCAACATAATACAACATTTCAAGATCACAAATCTGTGGTCTTGTGGTTGAAAAATTAATAAATAATAGTTTAAAAAACTAAAAAAACACGCTTTTATTGCTAATCGAACTAAAAACTAGAAAATAATTTTTAATGACAGAGTTTAATATTACAGTAGTAGAAGATCAAACAATCAATCATAATAAATCACCTCAAATTAAAATTATAATAAAATTTAAGTTATTAACAGAATAATTCAATTCAGAGTAAAAAGCGTGGGGTGCTTGATATTTTAAATATTACAATCATTCTATTGGCAACTATCTACGAGAGGATAGTTATGAACCGCAGTAAAATGCACCCCACGCTTTTTACTCTGAATTGAATTATTCTGTTAATAACTTAAATTTTATTATAATTTTAATTTGAGGTGATTTATTATGATTGATTGTTTGATCTTCTACTACTGTAATATTAAACTCTGTCATTAAAAATTATTTTCTAGTTTTTAGTTCGATTAGCAATAAAAGCGTGTTTTTTTAGTTTTTTAAACTATTATTTATTTTTCATTTTTTAGTCTGCGACAAATTCATAAATTGGGGAATTAATTACTTATTTAGATTTTTCTAGAAAGAACCACTCAGTGGTCTCCGTAGGATCGAGGATCCTGGCGGTCCTAATAAGGATAATGGGAAACTGTTATCAAATTATTGCATTGTCATCGATCCTTGAGACGTGTGCAAAGTTTCAAGATGATCAGACTTTTAGAAACCGATGAAAATTAAGCTCAAAGATTCCGTTACATACATACAACCCAAGCTAATAAAAGCGTGATAAAAAGGGCATCGAGTATTATTATTTGAAGTCATAATTATAGTAATATAGAAGTAGTTTTTTTACTAGCTGTAAACATTCCTAGCGACGCACTGGCTACGACCTTGTGGACCAGATCAAAGCGTCCCCGCTACTCGCCGTAAAACACACCTTACTTCAACTGGGGGATTGTAGTGGTGAGATAGAATCCCGCGTACTCACTGGTTATGATAGATGATCGCTTGGCGCACAAATCACAAATGTCGGTAACCTAACTTTTTTAAGTTTTACTATTTTTGCGGGCTGATAGACTTCAACAAAATGTCAAATTCTTATAAGAAATCTGGTGACAGAATGATGTGTTGCTGAGATAAACACCATAATAATTTCTTTAATTTGATGAAGATGATATCAGAGTGTTTCCTACACCGACAGAAGTAGGTAGTAGGAATTTTTAAATGCAACATACAACTATGATAATTTTACTACTTCCGTTCCATTTCGTTATCTTTATGTAAAACTCGGATTTTATGCACAACGAATATTTTATTTTCGACATGCCTAACATAATTTTATGAGACCTCGTTTTTTTAAATTTAAAATGGTTTCGTTTTATTAGTTTTAAGTTGTAAATTATAGATTACAATGAAATTTACATTTCTTCAGAAAAAAAAGTATATTGTCTTTGCTATTTCTATTGAAACACCGCCTGTTGATTTTGCTTAAAATTTAGCAATTGGTCACAGCTTTCGGTTGATTGACGACGGCTTCTAGTCAGAAAATTGACTGAATATGAACGTTGCCAAATTTACGATTAACAAGTGGTGTTTCAATAGAAATGGGAAAAGCAATAGATAACATTATACTGGTGCGTGATCAGGAATGAATGAGTCCGTTGTCAGCTGTCAAGATTGACAGATTGTTGACATTTCTAATTTGTAAAATAATGTATCCAAAACAACACCTCAATTTATCGCATGTCACGACTGACGTATCCGCCATACAATTAAACAGTGGCGGCTCGTCAGGGGGGGCCAGTTAGGCCAGGCCGAGTCTGTCACCGAACTTGTCAATTTTCGATATTCATTTTTATTTTAAACGCAAGAATATAATTTAAAGCTATTTTGAAATCACCTGATTTT